GGGAATAATGGGGGTTGCAACCCTTAAAGTCAAAATTAATTTAATTTTTTTCAAGACTACTGGATATATTTTACTTTTATTCATTTATTAGTTAGCTATTATATACAGGGTAGGAAAGTACCGATGGTCTATCTGAAGTTACGTGAGAGCGATAAAGTAAGCCATAGAAATCCATGCGATAGAGAAGGATGGCTATAATGAAGGTTTCTCTTTGCCACCGCCCGTTTCGCCCTTCCACAAATAAGATCCACTTCTTATTTGTGGAAGGGCGAAGTGGGCGTTGACTATTAGACGCCTTCATTATAGCCATCCTTGTAGCGTCGAATTGGTAGAACATAGTTAAAAAAATAAAATCCATAGGCAAAAAAGTGTAATTTGACAGAAACAATCATACAAAGCATAGCTATAACTACAAAATATAAGAAGTATTTATAATCGGAGCTTAATCACCATCACTATTTTCTTCAATATTTGTACTTACACAAGTTTCATCAAATATGGAGGTCAATATCGTTGGTTTTAAGATTGCTCCCCAAGATGCTCGGGCGTCTCCCCCTTCGCACGATCCTCAATGGACGCTTGTGTTAGATAATGTCGATGCTGATGCTCTTCCTTGATTAATGACGTGATATCTTGGACTTGGGATAAAGCCTGGGTGGTATGTTGTACATGAGCAATGGGAGCATTGAGCTCAGCCTAATTTTTTCATGAGAAATTTAACTTTGAATTTAAACAATTTGTACGATTCATTGCTATTTTTTGTTCAATGAACAATAAATGAATGTAACATTTGTATATAATACAAATGGTTGAAATAATTTGAAGTGTAAAGGCACTGGTTATTGAACTGCATGGTCCCTGGGCTGATGTTCGAACGCACACTACGTAGGCTTCCCAGGGAGTCCTGTATTATGTTCCGCGTTATAGAATCGGAGAAATGGTATTTTGAAATAATGTCCCTCTAAAAATTGTAGGCTGCTTTAAAGGTTATGGTGTTGAGACTTACTTTGATTAATAGTGACCCTAAGGCCGGTTTGTAGGTTGAGTTTCGAATATTTCGGACTTTAAAATTCGAAAGAGAGGTGAAGATTTCTGCGACTTCTAGCAAATAGCGGAAAATCCTCAAAACATGCGTAAAAATTTGGTGCGGCCAGCATCGCCTGATACAGCTGGTAGCTTTTAGCGGCATTTGTGGCTTCGTGGGAGAAATTATTTTTAAAACTTTGGTGAAAATGTGTTTTCTCCTTCTGCGCCTTCAGAGCTGCGTAGTAGGTCGTTAGCTGCTATTTGACTATCTTTCCAAAGTTTTGGCGGTAACTGCGTCTTGCACGGAACTTTTTGAAGGATTATCGAGTTCTTTTCGAAATATGGATGAATTAACTATTGGATGTATCGGACCGGGATTTTAGAGACAATTAAAGAAAAGTTGAACTATCATTTTCAAAAAGTTTTACATTGATAGTTCATGTAACAGACGCGGTAAAAGTTAATGTTAAGTAGTTAATTTGGGGACAAAAAGGCGTAGGTCTTTAAATTACCATAAAAATAAGCTATACTTAATACAAAAGGAGCGAATTCCCGAGCGGCTTTTTCTTGATTCTGGGGCGATTTATTTATGATATCTACGATATCAACTTCTAAAATTAACGTTTAGTAATAATTAAACAATTAGTTGCAAATAACGCTTTTGGTAATAATAACGCGCAATTTTCGAGTTCGACCTTTAATTTACAGTTAATAGATTGGTGAAATATGAATTTAGGTACCTTAATTGTAGGTAATTTAATTGTCTACAACATAAAATAACAAATTTTCCGATAGGTCGTCTAGATACTGTTCCATGGACAGTAAAAAAAAAGTGAAAGACAAGTAGATAATTTTGCCGCTTATTTGCAGTTTTCCAAATTAATGTCACTTCTTTCGAATTAGTTTTGTGATATTTTTAGTTTTTGGGGTTTATGACTTAATTCGACTAGACAAATAACGATAACGTGTTTCACAATAACAAAGATATTGTAATCATTATTGCTCATTTTATTTTATTTCTTTGTAGCTACTCTGATCCGCATGTGTTTAGTCAATTGTGCCAGATCTAATGACAACATTCAATTATTTCATTCTAAATTTAATGCGAATTTAATCATGAAAAACTGAAGTGGGGGAATGAAGTTCTGGCAACGAAAAACTTTCGGTAGTTATTTTTACCCATTTATTTACTTTAACAACGATTTTTTTTACTACACAATTATACACATATAACTAATAATTTTTGGCATGGTGGGTAACTGTAGTAGCCACTTACAAATATAAATATTTACATATAACTACAGAAAATAAATAATATAAATACAAGGATTATTTACAGAGAGAATTAATACTCTATGTTTGCACATATGTAGATTGAAGAAAAAGTCAAATAATCTTAATATCTCAGTATAATATAGCACGATATGTTACAATTTTTTTACAGTTTCACTCTCCCTGTTCAAATTTTGCAATAATAATAAAATTGATACCAAGACAAAGAAGAACAAGAAGAAGAAACGTACCTTGAGAAAGGAAATAAAGTTCAAATTTCCCAAATTAAAAATAATAATAATTTGCTTTATCTTAATTTATTATAATTGATAAAAGGTGCTAAAAACCTTTGAAAAACTTTGGTAGTATAAATGTTCTAGGTCTGATGTGATAGTATCAAATTTCAGTCAAATTTTTTAGGTCAAAATAATTTTATGACGGCATTAAAATGTAGGTACTTTCACATAGTTAAATTATTTTGATTAAACTGATTTCGTCAAATTTATTAAAATAATAAATGAAACTTATTCTAAAAATGGCACCAAAAGATATCCGGTTATTCTTTCAAATATTTTATTTTCTACTAACCTTTTTTTGATCGGAAAACAGGAAACTATTACTAAAAAGTATTTGGCTAGCTTAACGGTTACATAGAAGTTGATACTCTGACATGGGCCATATAAAAAATTATACAATGTATTTCAGAAAGGTTTGTACCAGCTACGTATCCGTATAGAAAAGTCAACGCCCACTGAGATATCTATTTGTACATATCGCTACTTTTAACATCTCTCTAAAATCTGCTCCGAATTTTGAATAAAATAGGAAAACCTTTGAAATACCAGCTCAACATCTACTCTTATTACATATTTTACCATAGGCGTATCCATAAAAAATGTTAATATGGTCGGAACCCAGATCCCTCCAAAAAAATAACACCTTGTCTGTCATGTTATTACATTTCGATGGAATACATTACATTGGCATAATAAAAGAAGTACGACAAGTAAGTTTCTAGCTACAACTGTTTTAAAACATATTGTTCCACGATGACGGGCTATATCTCAGCAGGCGTTGATTTTTGTACGCATATATACGAGTTATTGGGATCTCACAAAGTCCGCAGCGTTTTTGGTTCCCATAACAAGAGTGCCTTGGAAATCAATTATTAGACATAAGTTGTCTTAATGTCATACTATTTAGTCATAGTAGTCTCTGAACTTTTTGCAGAAAAAAACGGAGTATCAAGCAAAAAAATGGGTACTTCCAACACTAAAACCATTTGTGTCGTTTACGGAGACAACGCCAATGGAGAAAGAGGTCCATTTTAACGGTTTTTCAAGTCCAAGAAGATCATCTGACTGATGATCGTTTGGTTGCTTTAATTCATGATGCACTTCAATCAACTTGGGAATTGGTCAGTATGATGAACTGTGTCAACCATAGTACGACATTCGCATTACATGGATAAAGTAAAAAAAAATAGTGTTTGGGTTAACGGGTTAACATTTGCACCTCTATTTTCTGGCTCATCATTGAAAAATTCATCAACAGCATCGACCGCTTTTGTACCACATTATTATTGATGACGAAAAATTGTGCTTTTATGCCTACATCAAGAACAAAAAGAAAGGTTTAGCTCTAACAGAAGCTACGATAAGCTGTGTTGTGCTTCTGGTGGACGAAAGAAGCATCGTCTACTATGAATTGCTTCCGAGGAAGGTAACCATTTCTGCTGCGGTTTATTACCAACAATTCCGTTGACTTTAGGTGGAAATTCAAGAAAATGGATCAATAATACATTACCGAGTTATTTTACAATATGATAACGCTCTCTTTCAAACTGCTAACATCACAAAAGCTGCTACTATGCAGGACGAAAGGAGGTTATTCCACATTTGCTCTACTCTGATGATCTTGTTCAATCAGATGTTATCTCTGTCAACCTACTGCAATGATGAAGTTGGAAACCAATCGTAAATAGTCCTTGATTAGTTCATGTATTTTGTTTATATCTGGGTGCTATATTTTCATGAAAACCAAAAGTATGATAGAAAATAGAAGGTAGAACAATGTCCGGAAACAGGGAGCAGCAATCCGACAAGGAGAATTGAAAAATAATATACTTAGACAAAGATCAGGATGTATAAATCCCTGTATGTCCAATTGTTAGATATGCCAGTAAAATATGGGCCCCAAACAAAGTGGAACATATGAGATTGGAGGCATAGGATAGAAAAATCATTGGAGAAAAGAGAACAGAAGAATGGGTTAGAAGAACAAATAAAGATGTGAGTATGAATATACAATGCCATAATCGAAAATGCGAAATATGTTAATAACAATAACAACAATTGGTGGCAAGAAAAGAAAGGAAGACACCTTAGGGAGGAAAAGAGAGGTCCAAAAGATTTACATCTGAAAGTTACCAAACGCAAGGAGAAATCGAGATATGTAGATACACAGTTAACCAAGCCATGGATGTATATATTATTTGAATTCACTAAAAAAAAACGCTACGCATCAGCCTAATACAACAACCTTTCTGGTACACTGTACAAACTGCTACCTTTTATCAGATTTTCTTACCGTTGCCGCTGCGGATTACTATTTGACTTTTACTTTACGTTATAAAAAATATCCTGAAGGACATTCATTCAGTTGTTTTTGCACGAGAACCCATCCTGAAGGCTGCCCCCCGTTCATACCAACCCCGACATTGGCGGTCTACTGACGGGACTCGAGGGCAAACTATGAACCGCCGCCGCCACGGCCGCTTGGTGGTGATAGTACAGGGAACTCGGATACCCTGTGGACGTCACCACGGAGCTGTTACCCGCACTTCCGGCTTCTCTGCTGCCGTCTAGAGGATGATGGAGTCCTAGCGGGTGGTTTTGTTCGAAGGGGTGGCGTATAGAGGAGTTGGCTGATTCGTGGTACAAGATCGGCACCCTGACCAACCTCTGGGCGGCGTGAGCCATATTCGCAGCTTCCAGTTCGGCGGCCAGTTGCCTTTTCCATTTGTTCCTCCTGTTCTGGAACCATATTTTCACTTGGGTTTCCGTTAGGTGAAGACTAGCCGCCAATCCCGCTCTTTCCGAAGAGGATAGGTACCTCTTCATGTCGAAGGTTGATTCCAACTGGAACACTTGCGATCTGGAGAAGACGGTCCTCGTTTTCTTTTTCCTCTTGTTAGACAAGGAGTTGCCGGGGCTCATGCTGGAGCTCTGGACTTTCTTATCTTTGTCGTTGTCGTAGTCGCTCTCTTCGTCGTCGACTTCCTCGTCGATTACCATGTTGTCGGACTCCCTGAAGGGGCTTTTGGAACGCATGTTCAGGTAGTTCTGGTCTAGGAAAGCGGGATGGGATGAAGGTAACGTGTTGGGCTGGTGTGGGCTACACGTGGGCGATCTCTGGTGGTCCGACGGGGACGACGGTCTGGAGGATCGACTTTCCGTGTTGTTGGTGGTTTGGTTGTCGCGGGGGGACGTAGGCGGACTTTGGTCGTCGTTCGTCGAGCCACCTGAAAACAAAATCACAATTGTAGTCGAAGCTAAGTACTGGTATTCGATAATATAGTGCCTTCATAAAAGCCCCACGTGACCAGATTTGTTTTGGCGCTCAGTAAATTTGATTTTTTCATTGGTTGGAAATTACTAAGAAAAAATTACCAACTTAAGACCCCAGATGAAGTGTCAATCCAGAGGGGTTCGTAGTTTTTTGTGTTATGTTTGTACAATTTGGCAGAGTTTACCAGTGTTTTTGTGCTTTTCTACAAATTAATCATTATCTGTTGAGTTGAAAAAAAAAATTGTTCTTTTCAGAAGTCCAAAAATTCGACGTTTTTTCCATAAGTTAAATGAATATTTTAAGGATTTTTTACTTTGTTATTTTTTGTAGATTTGTGTAAAAATGCCGTTTACATCGGAACAAGACGCATTTACTTTGATGGCACATTTTCGTAGTGGTACACGGAACGCAGATCAAGGGGGAAGGAACAAGATAAAAGAGAGAATGAAGGAAATATAAATTGTAGTTACAAAATGATTTAAGTTTTTGTAGAAATACTTTCAATAAAATCTTTTTAATACAAGAAAAGCTTATTAAAAAAATTATAAATAACTAAGAAATATATACATTTCTTAAATCTATGGGTAAACCTACAAAATTAAAAACGTTTTGCCTCCCCTACAAAATACATATGTCTTTCTTAAGTAGAGGTAAAAAATCCAGGGGCGTATTTTTGTGTCAAAAATTAAAAAAAAGTTAATTTTTAATTTATAAACCTCTTGAGATAATTTAACCAAATTTGGTATACACAGTATTGGCAGTAGGTATGAAGTAAAAAATTACCAGCTTTATAAACCTACCAGTGGTAGGAGGTGTGGGTATCACCGATCATTATTTGCCAAAAATATAATTGGGGGAGCTGCAAAAAATAATAATAATAATTTTCCTTTCCTCTCCTTTCCATTTAAAGAATTAATTTTTATTTAATTTAATTTTTTATTATTTTTTTATTAAAATTAAAATTTTTTTTGTTTAAATTACTATGAAATTGACCAAAGTGGGATTAATTCAAGAGCGATTTTCTCAGAAACCGTTAAAGATAACTATTTGAAACAACAGTACCTTTTTAACGTAAAACAGTTCGGGAAAACGGAATTTGCTGTCTAATTTGTTAAAAAGTCAAAGATGAAAAAGTTACACACGCAAAGTACCAAAGCCCTCCCCCCGTACCCACCCCAATGGACCTTGTGGAAATAAATGGATTAGTCCATCAAATTGCTCATCAAAATTTAGCTGTGTATACCAAATTTCATTCATTTATCACAACGCGATTGACAGATATTGCAAAAAAATGATTTCCATTCCTCCCTCTTCAATGGGTCCCTGTGCCCTTAGGAAGCATTTCCGGACCCATGTTCATATGAACTTTTTTACTTAGTTTTGATCATAGAATCGGCCTGTTCAGGGTTGGCAGCTAATTATGAGACACCCTGTATAGCAGTTTCAAAAAGAACGATAATAGGCCCAATTTTTTTTCCGAGAAGTAATAAATGGAGAACGATATTTTACAACAAACCCTGGAATTAAGACATGACGATGAACTAACTGCAGCATGGGTATTTTTAACAAGATATACACACATATTGCAGCAGAAACTATCTTCAGGAATTTTATGGTGATAGATAGATTACTAGGGGTTTGTGGCTCGCTCGAAGCTCTCACACTTTTAGATTTTTATCTGTTCGGCCATATCAAAAGTATAATATAATATACTTATAATTTATATTTAAATATTGAAAAAAAAAAAAATAAAACAAACCTTTTGTATTTTATTAACATTATTTTCATTACCTTTGAATGAAAGTGGATTATAAAAGAGCCCACAGTTTTTAAAGAATAACCTTCAACCAAAACATATTTTTCAATGTAGAATGGGATAAAAAGCCCAAATATCTTTGGGGTATGGTTATTTTGTAAGTAAAAATGTAGAGAATGATTTTTTTCTATTGTAAAAGGTACATATTTTGTAGATTACAATTCATAGTTTGTAAGGAATTGTAAAATGACTTCACTGGACTCATTTTCTGCCTTTAGGGAATTTTGTGTTAATCATTGACTCCGTTGTTGCCTAAGAGTCGGGGTCACGTGGGGCTTGGGCATTTATGAAGACGCTGTACAATGTCAGTAGGCACTATCATATCTGTACACGTGATAAAGAATGACTATAAAAAAGTATAGCGAGCAACTAGTGCAGAAACATTAACTTTTTACACGTTTGAGTTGCAATTTTTTCAAAGTTGTGAGAAACTAGCACCCAATATACTGGTTCCTACCATTTCCGTGACACCCCGCTAATGGGCGATAAATGTCGAGTTTCGGTTGGAAAAAATATCGATCATTACAGGCAGATGGCAAGTTGAAATCCACAGGGAGCAACGCCCACTTCATTTTATTCAAATAAACCGTTTCCACTGAAAACTAAATATGCATGTAATTCCGAAAAGCGAGATAAGTGCTGCGGACTAATTAAGAAAATGGACAAAACGTTTAGGCGAGTGGGCCGCACTGAACTGAATTTTAATAAAAGAGTAATTTATACATTCGCCACCCCACAAGTACCGTTAATTCCGCCGAAGATATCATCTAGTGGGACATTCACGACTAATGGGGTCATTTGTAACCATTTAAAGCTGGCACGTGTATGCCCCACATGCGAATCCGTTCCGAGCGGATAATACATGTTTTGCGAGCGCGGGACGTGGCGGCGGTGGCTCGCTTTTCAGGAATGGAGGTGTTATTAATGAATTTGTTCTCATTAGAATGCGGTGAATATGCATGAAGAAGCGTTCCAAAAAATTACGTTGCAGTATACGGAATTATCTTGTGCGATAAGTTGAGAAGATGACAGTTTTGCAAACATATGGGCACATGGTGTACAGGGTGTCTAAAACTCGATACTGTGAGGATACAAAAAATTTAAATAAAATTTGGGACACGTGGCGTTAAATGGGATGAGGTATGTATTATTTTTGGGATTCGACAGAAACGACTAATGACGTCATCAATTATATTTTTTCCAGAAACATACCAAACCAAATTTTTTTCCTGTTACAAAGCTCTCTTTTTTCTAATAATTTTTTTTATTAGAGAAATTTTTCTGTATTACTTCCCATTTAAAAGTTATAAGCAATATCAGCCTAAAGAGTCTCCAAAGAAATACCACCTAAAAACCATATTAGCGGTGGAAGGATCAAGTAGTCGTTGAAAAATATAATTGAATGTTCGTTGTTTAAAGTGCATAAATGTCACAAAATACTTAGGCTTTTTTTCGCGAGTGAAGTCGTATGTTGTAGTATGTGTAGTATGAGTGAATATTACGTTTTTGCGAGAATAGTCAGTCATTTAAACTACTATGTGACGTCACAAGTTTAGATCAAATGACTGAACTCTTCACCCTTCAGCTGAATATTCTGTTGGTATATTCAACTAGTATTGTCAGCCGGTAACTTAACCTTTTTCTTTTTGACATTTTGTTTGAATGAGGATAAAAATCGTTCAGCAAAATGATGGATTCTGATACGGCTGTGGAAGTGGTCAGTTTAAATTTAAACTTTAGAGGCACAGATGTTTTAGTAAACNCTAGAAATTTAAATATTTGGTAAATTACCTTATATGATGGATTTCATTATTCACTGGTGATTAAATTGAGGTAAGCTTTCGGTTTAAATTTATAATCACACACGAGCTTGTGACTTTACCAGTTGCAAAATTAAAGAGGGCTTCGAATCGCTCTGACGTGGATTTTATTAAATTAAATCTCATAGAAACCCAACCGTTATGATTGGTCGTTCAAATAAAATAATTTTCGGCCTGGGCAACTGCTTTTTTATCACCACTGAACAGGTTCTATTAACCTTAACCTAGGTCCAAAGTACATATAATTCAGTCTACTTAATCGAGTTCTTTGCTCGAGATATGACAGAAACAAATAAATAACCTTCAATATTTGACATCAAACAAATGTGCATCAGATTCGTTTACAATTAAATCATAATAAAAAGAAATAATACATTAAAAGGTAGTACAGTTAAATTATATGCAACCAAAGATATTAGTATGATTCAAACAGATTTACATTTCGTTTAATAAAGTGCCTGTAGGTTCATAAACAGGTACCTAGTAGCAAACATTTATAGAATATAGTTCATTGAATCAGTGTTCTTTAACTAGTTGTAGAGTGTAACAAAGATTTTCATGATGTATCAACAATACAACAGTATACAGGCGGAAACAAACTAACTACGTTTAAAAACAAAGTTGAATTTTATATCAAGATCTCAAGAAGCTGTTAATTGTTGTACATGAGCAGTGTTGGTGACATTCACGCTGTATAAATAGTGAATGTTACACGTTATAGTAGTATAGTAGTAGTAGAGTTGATTGATTTTAACGCTGCATCGCCGTCGTCCTCGTTGTCATCGTCGTTCTTGTCATCGTCCTTGTCGTCGTCCTCCACGTCATTGTTCTCGTCGTCATCATCCTCTTCATCATCCTCCTCGTCATTCCGTCATCCTCGTCGTCGTTATTGTTATTAATGTTATTAAAAAAGTTATTGTCTTGATAATATTTGATATCTTCCTCAACTATTGCACATTCAACTTTTCGATAATAAATATCGCATGCTCCGTAATGCGTCTAATTTTCTTTTTGTAAGTTAAACAGCAATGTAACCACATCTGAAGAAACAGATACAAATTGAACGACTTTGATTCTACAAGAAAGTAACGTATCACTTGCCCAACTGCCCATCCATTTTCCGTCCTATCGCAAGGGAACGCCGACATCCCAGACAATACCGCATAAATCATTTTAGAGGCCGAGTCCGCGGCTGCAGATTAGAAACTATTAGTTTCAGTTCCTGGCGAGCTTAAGAGATAGCCGACGATTTTCGAACCGAACCGGCTGCGACCTCGCAACGGCCGGCTATTTGTCAAATTATGCAGCTGGATGTCC